CTCTAGTCGTTGTTGAGTTAATTGTCAATAAATTGTTTTCTGGAAAATGTCTAAATTTCACCTTTACAACCTGATATGGCTCACAGCACAGGGTATATTGTTTTGGCCCTGTACCCATAGCACAGTTCAACTTCCTGCCATATATCAGATTTTTAAAAATAATTTGACCCCTGTGTTTATTTGACTAATTTTAAGGCCAACCGGAAGAGGTGCTAACTTCTGAGCAACAGTGAAGGAAAACGGTACATCGGAGCAAGTTTCGTCCCGCGAGAAGGATATACCCTCGGATGCAAAGGGATCAGTGTGAAAATTTCCAGCGCTTTTATATTCTACAGTATATGCTCAATAGTTTAGGTGCTAGAGCGCTAACAGACACAGACACGACGAAGTGCAATTTTCTGTGGTATTTAATGCTTTTTTCCCGTATGTCTCGTATGCTGAACCTTCCTTTCGTTGGCCTTCGGCTTACTCCAGTTTGAATTATAGCTGTGTTCAAGGACGTCTACTGTTAAGACTTGAATAATAAATACTTGCAGGTATTTTGTACCATTAGGCGAAGAATGTCCTGTAATATAGCTTTTATATATTATCTTTTGTGCTGTCGCATAAGAATGCAGTAGGAGCAGCTTAGACTATCAAATCCTGAGACGTAAACCTCACATTCTGATGGCAAATCATGGAATGAATTAGGCCTATGCTGCCCAAGACGATACATAAGCCTGCAAACTACGTGAATCTCTTCTCCCCTTTCTTCATTTCCCCCCTCCCCCCCCCCCCCCTCCACCATTCTTCATGTAAGGAAAGGAAGGTGCCTTCATATGGAAAATAGGAAATTCAATGTGAAATTCAATCACATTAGCAAATTGAATACGAATCCCAGATGAGAGATCGACGTTTCGGATTCCGTAGCAGAATCGTTAAGCCTTTGCAAGGTGGGATTTAATCACAATTCGTTCGTAAGCAGAAGAGACGTTAAGCGATGGCTCCATGCCAACGCCTTCATCCCAAATCAATCTCTGGATTATATAATAGCAGAATGGGGGGGGGGGCATAAAGTAACTTGGCTCTTGAAAAGCCTTTTCGCTGCTTCACGTTGCTAGCATCATGACATTTTTTTCGGGGAAGTATCCCTAACCGTACGTCCATACGAAACGCTTCACTGACACATTAATTGACTCTTTAATAACAGTTTAATTATGTTATCAATGAGCTAAAAATATGCTAAGTCAAGAGAGGCCATTAAATTGTCAGGTTGCCTTCAGGCACTCTATATCCTAACAGGACCCTATCAGGCCTAGAGAATGACTTCGTTTCAGAACTTCGCTGAGGACTCCACGGGACTCAGCAGGGAGGAGAGCACGGGTGTATTCAACTGCATCTGATGCTAGACTTTAACGATAAGGCATGCAAATGCATGTATGTAAAGCTGAAACTCATTGGCTTTCATCCTTTGAATCCGTCGGGGGGGAAATCTGCCTGCTAAGCCTATAGGTATCCGTCGTTTCCCCCATCTTACCCTTGCATTTTTTCTTTAGCATTGAGGGCTTTACGGGTAAGAATACATTCCCGATATGTGCCTCCTGTGATGTCAGCTAAACAGAAACCCCAAGAGCGCAGCAAAACATCGATCGCTTTCCTCCCCTATACCCACGACTGTAAGTAGAGCATTTAGCGATCTGAGTGCCAACTTGCGACTCCCTCCCTGTCCCTAGCTATTAAGGGAAGCCACCTCACCTACCGTTTACGCACCTTAGGTCGAGGGGAGGAAATGTCGCTCGAAGAAGCTGCATGGCCTCTTCATACAGTACATCAAACTGAATTTTATTTAAATTTAAATTCAGAAACGCTATGCATGTTACTCTTTGATTCAAAGCTTAATCCAAATCTTAGTGAGATCGATCCGTGTAACTTAGATTTACGTCTAGGTTCAGTTTAACATTTAGATTTACTGTAGATTTATTCTACCGGGAATAAGTTAAATAGACAATATTTTAGTTTATCTCATGAGAGAAATAGTTATAATAACTATTTCTCTCATGAGGTCAGTTATGTTCGCACAATTGAAGAGCAAATATATTTCCATTGGAGTGCAAAGTAACCCATGCCACAATTATTGTAAAATGGTTTTATTTTTGACAATTTTCGAGGTGACTTCTTTTGTAATAGCACAGCAATAGGCATGGCTCCTCGAAGGTGTTTTCAGGTCATCATGACAGTGTAAGCGGCAAAACTCGAAAACTGAAGGCCGAGTCGACCGCTCGAATGTGCGTGGAGATTTTGTTTCTTCTTTCAATGTGTTACCCGTGGACAGCTCGTGATATTGGAGGCTACTGGTGTGTCCTCCAAGGATATCACTCATACCCCCTAAGCTTCAGTTTTCACACAAAAATGTCGTGATGGGGAAAGCCAGACGGGACGGAACGTCCTGTTAGCAATCAACAATCCCTCCGGTCTCAGCGTTCGTCCTTATATCGAATCTTACGTCTGCCTTCACCGTTGAGTGAGTCAGAAACTTGGAGCAAAGAGGATTTCCAGACGGAGAACACGAATCTATCACGTGAGCAATCCGTGCAACCGAAACCCATTAAATTCCCCTTTTTACGCATAATTTGCTCATGCATCGATCCCTGATTGGTGATCAGGTTTTTATCCAGTCTTCACTTAAAATATTTTATTCGGATTTGAGCTTTCCCTCCACATCAGTGTCACATCTGATATATCCACATGTCCATTTCCCAGTTTTGAAAGTACCTAGGACCACCAGACAGGTCCTCAAATGGTCTAGTGATATCTGTCCAATATTCGCCTAACCATCCGTTGCTAGGACTCGGCGAATACAACAGAGCTTCATCAGCGTGGGGTTCTCTGAAACCCATCGGTATGCATTTTTACGCATTTCTGGAACTTGGCGCCATTTTCAAGCTCCATGACAATCGAAACATGCAGGCAATGATTTGGTGACAGAGGGGCATATCCACATGAATAGCACCATTCATTTCAACATCATAAAAGTAATAATTTTCTCCCATGTAGTACACAACTTCGTCACTTTCTCTCTCATTCAAACACATCGTGCAAAATCACAGCAATTTTCCCACCCCACTGAAAAGAGATGGACTTAGTTCTTCCTTCATTATTTTTTTTTCTGCCAATAGTGGGGAATACGGGTGGATCACATGAATACGAATATGCAGGGAACTGCGCCCCTGGACACATCGAATTACCGGTACATACTGAACGAGGCTCAAGGGGGATTGATATGAACACAGAGAGCATTAAAAAATAACAATAATGCAATGATGCACTTAACACAGATCCGAGTTTGGAGAGGAAGGGGACACCTTACAAGAACAACCTTCTGCTTTGGAAGTCAGAAAAATATCAACAATATTCTTCTGCCGCTTTCACACAAATAGGGCGTTTTTTTTATTTCGTTTGCACCCCTCGCAGGTTCTGTGCTGCGTTTTGGACCTTTCTGGACTGAGGGGGTCCTGTTAAACGAGGGCCGATGAAATTTCGGGGAGTGATATTTGGACCCCAATGAGGAGTTGGGGGGTCCAAGATGGAACACAGGACCGAGGGGAAGTCTTTCGTCACTTCTTCACTCGAGGCCGACTCCAGGATCGGAAAGTCCATTTTTTCAAGAAAGAAGTGGAAGGATTGAGGGTGGAAGAAGACGATGCAGTCGGAGAGGAGCTGGAGTCCGAGTGACCCCTCTTTCGCTCTCGGGAACGGGATAACCTTTCCGTCAGACCCAGAAACCCTCGATGGGCTTTCCCCTTTCTCGAATTGTCGAGGCGATCGTGATGAAGATGAAGATGAAGATGGTCTGAATGGTCCTCCTCTGGCTTGATGAGCACTTCTTCTTGCTCATGTTCACTCCGCCTGAAGATTCATTCCAATAAACCTTGGTTATGACTCAATTAGTCATGAATATGGTGATTAAGGGCGCTAGATCTGGTGTCACGTGGGCTCAGTAGCAGTAACACTTAAGTCCTCCCCAATAATTTCCATAAATCTTCCCTAAATAACTAAATCTCTTCATCCTCGAAATACTGTAAACGTATATATTTTCGCGGTGAAGAAACTCGAATTTATTGAGGGGGACAGTGGGACAAAGTTGCGCTTTCCTGGCCAAAATTAAAAGCTTTTAGATTATATATGAGGATTCAAGTTTAATTGTTCTAAAACATCATAAAAGCCATGTTATGTTTAGAAGAAGGTTCTATATCCCATGCATCGTGATTGAGAAGCAAAATTCCTTTTTTGTCTTAACGAACACTCCTATGAACAGCTTGTTTTGAACCTTCTGACGGTAACTCACCAAAGCAGAAATTCTAGACTATGCATGCAAATTAGTCCATGCACTCTATACATGAAAATTTGAAGGTCCATTTTGCAGAGCAAATTTTTGCGCGGTCCTTTTCGTCAATTTCTCAAAATAATTCATTTCTTTAGGGTTTGCACCACAAAATATGCGTCCTTGAGCAGGATTTTTAAATGTCAATGCTGATTCTATTTTCCACCTATCATTTTCTGATAAATGCATTCTCTCTTGACCATCTTCACAGGATTTTCATCAGCCTTTTCAGCTTCCTCTTTTCTGTTCTCATGAAGATTCAGTTTTCGCATAATCTTCTTTACGAGATGTTGTAATAGGGAGAAGCGCGAACGAGTTTCCTTTGCTTGAACCACAGGACGATTCTTTGAAGTAATCAGGATTAATTAGGAAAGAGCACTTGTGTGCTCAATACTTCTAATGAATGAACTTTTTATTTACTTGATCTCGACATTTTTCACCTGCCTTGGGCATTCATACCTCGTACATGCGCACTTCCAATGCGTTGGAGTCAAGTAAAGAAAAAGGTCGGACTCAAGTGAAAAACGCTGTAGACACCCGATGATATATGACTACTATTGTCAAAGTAGAAACTAGTAGCAGCTAGTTTTCATATGACTGCTAAAATACAAACATTAATTTCCAGAAATGCCAAAATCTTTATCACACTCTTATCACCGTTTTTGCGGCACGCAAAGAACGTGGCATATCAATAATTGAAGAATAGAGCTCAGAAATATAGGCATCATGGCCATATTACTTTAAATTGGAGTATGATATTATGCAATGTGAAAGTACTCAATCATATCCATCTCCAACAAAGTGGTTTCATTTTAACATAAACAAACAAGGGCATGGACGGTTTCTCAGCGTTTCGTTACGTTTTCACAGCTCCATCTCGTAAATGGAGAGTTTTTATTTATTTAAAGTAATTGCAGTTTTCTGAAGCTTAATTATTAAGTGACTAGTTGATAGTGCATGAGAATCAGTTAAGAGTTTCGATTTTTTACGTTTTGGCCAGGAAAATGCGCTTTTGTCCCATTGTGGGGTGTCAAAAAAATATTACTAATAGTAATTAATAATAATAGTAAAAATCTCCCCGAATTCGTGAAATTAAAAAAATAAAAACGAAAACGAAAAAGAACTTGGAGGAGAAATGCCAAGAGGTGGAAAGAGTCTTGAGTTTCAACTGCATTGTCGATTGCATATTATCTCCTGACACATCGTACAAAACTTGCCGATTATCATTCACTATTACTGCTGTACTATTGTTGACATTGGGCATGGATCCTATGAGAAATGTTATATATTCGTGAGGATTCGTTGTTACTAATAAAAGCTGAAACAATAATAAATGAATGCTATTGATAAAAAAAAATGAATTTTTGTTGCGTATCCAGTTCCCTCTCATCTTTCCTTACAGTTCCTTTTTCACGACTCTAGTCCTCTCGTCTATTGGATTCTATTTTCTTGAATCTTCGGAAGGTTTTTCTTTTGCTCAACCTCGCCGAGGAGACCCAGAGCGAAAACAACTTGTGCCACGAAAATATTGGGTTGGAAAGAAAGTCTTGCAACACTTTCTGACGAAGCCCTGCGGAACGCCCTCAACGCGAAGCCAAACGCCACCACTCGCGAATTGGCAACTACACTTGGAGTCACCCATATGGCCATCGGCAACCATCTGAACGACCTCGGCTATCGGAAGGTTTACTCGACATGGGTCCCTCATCGGCTCGGCGACTCTGACAAAGCAAGCCGTGTCAGTGTCTGCGAATCACTGCTCCTTCGTCCGCACAGAAAGGACCTTCTGAAGGAAATCGTTACTGGAGATGAGAGCTGGGTCCTCTACGTCGACCATACTCGCAAGAGTCAGTGGCTTCCACGAGGAGAATTGTCGCCACACGAACCGAAACCAGGGTTCCACGAGAAGAAGGTTCTTCTCTGCTGTCGGTGGGATTCAGAAGGAATGTCGTACTATGAGCTCCTGCCAAGCGGTACCACCGTGACTGCCGTCGTCTACGCTGCTCGACTTCAGAAGTTGGCTGGCGTCATTCAAAAAGAGTGTCCCAAACGCGACAAAGTTCTCCTTCTGCATGACAACGCTCGTCCACATGTTGCGAAGATGACTCGCCAGACGATTTCGGAACTGGGCTGGGAAGCTTTACCCCATCCAGCGTATTCTCCGGACTTGGCCCCCTCCGACTATCACTCGTTCCGGGCCCTCGAGAATCACCTGCGGGACAAGGCTTTCGACGATCGAGCGCAGCTCGAAAATGATGTCGGCCGTTTCTTCGCTTCGCAATCGCCAGAGTTCTGGGCAAAGGGCATCGAGCAGTTACCCATGCGTTGGGAACATGTCATAGACAACAATGGTCATTACATTGTAGACTGAAATTGCATTTCAATAAAGTTATAAAATTTTGAAAAATTTGCGCAGAGTGTTGCAAGACCAACCCAATATTTACGTTTACGGCAGTGTTAAATCCATAACTGACAGGCATTCCTTTGTACCAACTACGAAAAAGAACTCATCGACAAGAGATTGAGAAATGTTTAATTCATATCTGCACTCGAGAAGTAAGCACGTGTTATGCCACTTGGAACCCGCTTTTAGACGGTTTGTAATTCATTTTCGGCACATTTACTCTTGTTTTTCATAAAGGAAATTAAGTACAGGTACTGTTCCTTAAAACATTGGCGTTCTGGACGAATTTTCGCCATCCTGTATCTAGAGTCTAGCGTTTCTCCTTGCACTTCGTAATGCAGAAGACGGAAAATGAATGAACGCCGGCTGAAATTCATGTAGGAAATTGAGTTTCGGCAAACACGATTCAAGATTCAAGATTCAAGAAAATAGAATCCAATAGACGAGAGGACTAGAGTCGTGAAAAAGGAACTGTAAGGAAAGATGAGAGGGAACTGGATACGCATCCCTCCTTAACCTTCGCTCGAGCGAGAACAGTCCCAACACTTATAAACGCTTCTCGTATGATAGTCCCCTGACCTCCTTAATCATTATTGTGGCCCTCCTCTGTACTCCTTCGAGCGCCAACAAATCGCCTTATTTGTGGGCCTCCAAAACTGGATGCAATATTCTAACTGGGGTCTAATCAGCGCCGCATACAACGGAAGAATAATGCGCGAAGTCTTACTTGCAACCGAACGACGAATGTAACCTAGAATCCTGTTGCATTTGGCCACCGTTGCTTGCGTGTGCGAGGAAAACTTGAGGTCCTCGTCGATAGAAACTCGTAAATCTCTTTCCGTTTGCCATATCAAATTTAATATAGCCGAACTTGTCGAGAGACCTACCGTTGTTTCAATATAATAAGGCCCTCGGGCGCGCTTTTCAAATGGAACATAGCAAGAAGAATGGAAAGGCTGTTGAATCAAAAGTATTTTCTCGTCGAATCAATACATGTCGAGCGTCGCTCTGGCACTTGGAATGGCCGTAAACAGACTAAACATCATGAGCGCCACATAGATCAATATTAGGCAGATATTTTTTCTGTAAACTGGATTGAAGGAGAAATTTCAGACTTTTATCACAGTTCTTTAGGCTTTCTTTCGCACGAAAAATGAAAATCCATTCAGCTTCCCCTCAAAAGAATCCTATAGCAGCCTTGGGAAAAACCTAAAGTATGCACATACAATCCACTTTGCTGCGGAAAAAAAAAGCGTATGTGAAGCTCTCTGTTTTCATTTCCAATTGTTTCAACATGTCTGCATTTCGATGCAAAATTTCCGATTAAAACTCATCTGTCGACGATCTTGAGATTCCAATAGCCCCATTCCAAATTCCATTCACGTTGGAGAGGAATGGAAGGGATGTTTCCTTTCCAACCCCGAAAATGTTATTTCAAATGCCTGAACCGTTTGCCTTCGTATGCAATGCAGCTCTCGTGGACGAAAGCGGATTTCGATTTCCCGGAACTACAATTGCTTTTACCAATTCTCCAAACATTTATAGCATTTACAGAATTCCCGAAATTAGTCACGAACCATCTGAAAGAGGGTTGCAACATGTAAATACTATCTGATCCTTTCAAGATATGTAAGAACGAATTCAGTAATGAAAATGTTCATGACTGTTCCTTGAGATGGGCAAAAAATCTCATTTCACTTTCACCCTTTGCAAGAGTCAAGAAGCGGAATTGATGTGCAGGGTGAGCCAAAAAAGGTCACCCTTTTTCATTTGATTGCTACTTTCGTGGTGATTAAAACGCGCTCGTCCTATTTGGAGGTGCTTTAGTGGCATTCTTTTGTGATTTAATGCAATAATTTCAAGGGAAAACGATGAACAGTTTTTGCTTAATACATTTTTCACGGCTCAAGGTTTATAAATCGCATTTCGAGCGTTATTTTGCTAACATGTCAGATTAAACATGGTAATTTTTTTCCCAACGAGTTTTTAAAAGCTTAAATGGCAACGACCATGAATACATTTTGGATTGAAATTACCCATAAGAAAGCGATGTTGAATACGGCCCCTTCTGCTACGACAAACGCAGTTAACCTAGCTCAAATCCGGGAGCAATTTTCAGCACGTGAAAAGAAAAAATCCACACCGATTTTTAACTTGCGGCATAAAATAGATATTGGTAATATTTCCTTGAAATAAAGTGCATTCGATCAAGAAGAGTAGTACCACTTATCATCCAAATTGCACGCGCACGTCTTAATTAGTACGGATGCAGCAATGAAATAAAAAGGGGTGAACTCTTTTTTGGTCCACCCTGTAGGTTCATTCTCATCTGAGATGAGATTCTCTACGACGTTCCCAAAGAAGACGATTATTTTTCAGTCCTCCATTTGCAATACCATCGTCTTCTCTCGTGGATCTCTTTGCGAGTCGCGATATCGTTTCCTCTTCTACTCGAGAGGGGTAACTTACGGAGTTCTTCCTTCGGTCAGGATGGGGCTGGTAGGCTGAGAGAGGGAAACCGGGGATACTATTTCTTGTATCTTGGAAGGAGTACTAGGTATGGAGACGGACGTCTTTCTCTTCTCCCCCATCAAAGGACTTGTACTATTTGTCTCCTTGACGATGGCCCGGAGTCTGAGTCGCTGGGCCTGGATGTCCTTGATGGAAGGGGCCACCTGGTACATCATCCCGTGGGACAAGCTCATCGTTCGAGTCTTTTTCGTCACCGCGGGTCTCAAAGTTGGTTCCACCGGCGACACGTCCGACGCGTCGGATGCGGAGGGTAAGCGTCCGAATTTCTCCTTCAGGCGTTGTAGGATGGACGCGGGACCCTTCGCGGGTCGGTCTTCCTGCGTGTCCGTGCCTTCGTCCATGAGGAACGTGACGCTGCTCCGACCCGGCAGATCCGGTAGACTCTTTCTCAGCAACTGATTCGGCCTCGGGCCGTACGTGTTCGGAGTGATCTTGAATTTCAGCGCCTTCTCGCATACGGCCACTTCGGTTTCCTGATCAGCTCCTTCATCGGACTCTTCCTCGGATTCTTGTGTTACTTGCTCCTCCTCTTCGGTCACCGTGCCGGATCGTGGTGACAGGAAACTGCCCCGACTTCCCAATCGGACGAGCTTCTCTCGACTGGCGAAGCTGGTATCGCCGATGCTCACTCGGGGTGTGTCCGGCGTCTCTGCCTGTTGCTCGCTGGAGCTCGCCACGCTTCGCTTTCGGCGCTCCCGAGATGCCTCCTCGTTCAGCTTTCGGTAGTACTCCAGAGCTTCACGAACTGGCTTTACAATCAGGTCCTGGTGCAAAAAAAAAAATTATACATATACAGTATATATTATTTCCTATTTAGCCAATATCTTCCTTTAATATGAGGTTCATTAAATTATTATTATTATTATTATTATTATTATTATTATTATTATTATTATTATTATCAGGCCGGTTTCATGTTGACTGTTTATTCTTTGATTGGGAACAGTGCTCGATACGAGGGCAATTTCGAAACCAGGTATCCTGTCCTACGAACCTTGGATCATTTATTTTTCAATTGGACAACTTAACCGAGGTAATTTCGATGCATGAGTTAAATAAATGTGAAAATTGGTGGAAGGGAGATGCTGGAGATTAGGATGTGTTGTGTTTAGACAACGTGAGAGATGAAGCTTTATGTACTTGAAAAGAGCCACCTTGCTTCCCGTTTTTCTTGTATCTTCTATTTCCTTCTCTCTTTTCTTGTATCTCCCATCTTCTTTTTCTTGGATCTCGTAATCTCTGGAAACCCACCCTCCCCGCTCCCACGGTTTAGAGTATTAGCTCCACACCCGGCTCCAGCCTGAAAGAGCCTCATCGGCACTTTAGTTTATTTACATGCCTGTTTCACCTTCATCACTTCCGTGATCCTATGCCCCTCGCCTTTTCGATCGTTTACCCCGCCTTTCGATCGGACTTGGGATACTTTCGATCGAATGCAATATTGGAAAATACCTCTAATTCGGGGAGGAACTCTCCGAGAGCCTCGAAGAGGGGAAGAAGCACGAATCCTATGAAGGAGCATTGAGACGAGGGCTTCGTGATTCTCTCTGGATCCATGAAGGGCGTCACTGGCAGTCCTTCCAACTTCTCCATGTCGGATTGGGTGAAGAACTCCTACGCAAAGGATAAAATATTCGCAGGGTAGAGTCTCCTCTAACATGTGGAAAGTGGACGGCAAAAGCAAGAGGAATGAGAGGAAATGATATTACTCGTATATCTAGCCCCCACGATCTAGAGATGCACTCAGGCTGGAACAAGGTTCATAGACAGGAAAGGTTGAGGGGGTACGAGAGGGCGCAAAGGTGACGTCAGAATGATGGCAATCATTCTCTATCATTGTCTCTTTATAGAAAAACTTGGAGCCCTAGCTACGTGGGAATTCAGTCTTTCCTCCTTGCGCTCGGCTTCTCCTTCGTACATCGAGGAAATTCGAGTTCGTATGCCGGATGGACTCTCTGAACATAATAAAGACTCTCATTCATTATTCTCGCCACGGGCAAGAAAAATCGTCTTCCTTTCCACACGAGTTGAGATAAAGAAGGCGACACGAAAGGAAGAGACTAACAGACCTGAAGGAGGCAATCGAGCCAGGGCTCGGCCACGTCCATCGGCCGAGCCTCGTTCGAGATGTCCGCCACTTTGATCAGCACCATGGTCAGCTGCAAAATCCCACGCAGTGAGCAACCGAGTCATCGATTCCTTCTTTGGGTTCGATCGAAGAGAGAACTCACGAGATTGGTGTGGGCCTTGTTGTCGTAGTCGAAACAAGGGATGATCTCTCGAAATTGAGAGAGGATTTCGTTGTGGCGGGCCATGTCTGTGGCGAGGATGCACCGGATCATGCCCTCTCGTATCTATCGAGAGACGGAGAAAAAAATTGCATACCTTTTTCAATATTGTCCAAAATAATCACTTCTCGGAACACCTTTGTGCTGGCTGAACCGTCGACTAAACCCTGTCAGAGAAAATAAGAAAGAGCGGGGAAAGAAGCTTCGACGCTCGCTTCTCGGAAGGCTCCGCTAATTGAATTACAAAGGTCTAATGTCGAAGATATGCCGTCAAAGGAGTTTGATTGCATGCTTCCTCGAGTGAGCGTCTCCCGATGATGAAACAAGGAAGCCGACCTTGCTGCTTCAGTCAACTGGAATGCCTCGAATCCCTTGATACCCCCCCCCCCCTCACATAATTGCCTCATTACATGCTCATAATCAATATTCTGCCCCTAATAGGAAAACAGAATGGAAGAATAGATCCAATCCCGAACGGAAGTGGCGTACCTTCTTGTAGTCCTCGGGGTTGAAATTGCGGAAGATGTTGCAGGATGAGTCCTCGAGGATCCTGAAGGCCACGGAACAGTGATGATTCTCCAAGGGAGAGATGTCGTTATACCGCAATGCCAGCTCCGTCTTCGCGTTGATCTTCAACGACAAAATTTTCGGTGAGACTAAACCAGAAACTGACATGGGATGATTTCAAAAAGGCGGTTCAGTAGCGATTCGGTTCAAGTTTCAGTTTAAACATTAATCTGAACTGAAAGTAGGCTGAAGTTCCACCATACTCTTAAGGACCACTCTCACAACGAAATTCCACTGGAACTGCAACAGAACTAAAACTGACTGGATTGCATTTTTGGAATCAGTCAAGATTTAGGCAATAAGTGTGTCATCAGACACTACAATATTATTCCAGATGGCGCATGATCGAGGGGGAAAAAAGACACGAGGAAGTTGCTAGAGGGGTGAGAAGGAACAACATCAATGCAGACTTCATAAGGTTGCTACTTCAAAATTCCAGGGAAGGAGAAGAAACAAGTGATGAATTGTATACAGTCAGTGCCACCCGGCCGAAGCCGTTTCCGTACTTTTCAGTGGCATGTGGCGGTGGCCACAGTTCCATTCCTCGATGCTGGGGAGCGCCAGGCAATGGAGACAGTCAGTTGAGTCCCTAAGGGAACTAAAGCCTAAGGGAACTAAAGCTTAATAGAACTCTTGCATCCGGGTGACAGCAGGAGATTCTGCAACGTACCATCGCTCCGTGTTAATCAAGACAATAATGAAAAGAGTATCGATCATAGGTGCCAAATTGTAAAGTCTCTCAGGAGGACGGCAAGTCCTCCATACTCGATGACCTTTTGCTTCCATAGACAAGATGTAAATGACCTGTTAGCGACAATCTCATGACCTTTGCTTTATACTTACTCAGGATCTGGTGAACTTTCTGCTTAGCTTAACGATAATCCGACGACCTTTATAAATTACAATCTAATCTGCTACGCGCAGGAGTTGCAGCTGAGAGAAAGGCATAAAAAGCAGGCTATCTCTGATCTCCTGGCGCGGTATATTCGATTACAGGCAGAAGAGAAGAAAAGCCTTGTCCTTAATTTGGCTTCTCCATGCTGCAGCTCTTTCTTCAGCCTCGTTAGTCCATCCTCACTTCAACGCAGCATCCCACTTCAACCCGTATCCATACAAAGATGAATGTGATGAGCCTGAAAGGCTCTACGGGGGAAAGTCAGGCAAATAAGGACAGAGAATGTAGACGTTGGACTGGCCAGCTAATTTGAGGCGAAATTTGCTCAGTGCCATGGCGTCACATTGATGGTTATCGGTCGTGATGGAGTAGGTTGAGTGACGTCAAGGATTCAATCACACCCATCATGTTTGTTCTGGGATATTGATCCGTTCTCTGAGGTGATGAACCTCGTGTGGAAACAGATTGGTCTGTCCTAAGACCAATCGTATTTTATTATAGTTCGGGACGAACCTGGTAGATGTTGTTGAATCCCGGATGATCCAGATCGTGACAGATGCAAGACGTCATCAAAATCAAGGTCTCCAAATCACCGATTCTTGACGGCAGATCCACGCACCACGCGATCCCGTACATCTAATGGGAAAAAAAAGAACAATGCAAGGAATCATTTCATAGGACCATCAGCTCCGTCTAAAATTAGATGTGAACCTATAAAAGGAGTCCTTTTGAGGTCAGAGCTCGTGTAATGAAGTGGAGCAGTGATGAAATAAGACTGGTGGAAACCATCTCTGGCTTCTCAGACTGCCCCTTTCCCAGCGTTTTTTTGCTTCCTACCAGCTAGCTTATATACAGAGCGGGTCCAATATCATCAGAGTTCCTCTTTTTTTCCCTCTGGGAAATTCGTCCCCGGAGGATGGCTCAGGGCGACATGGCGCCGCAGCCGCTGCACATGAACGCTATTCCGTCAATGTTACGATATCTTAATTGCATAAGACAACCAGAAAGTCAGGCATATCGAAGATGTAGGGGACGAGTTCGATCGAAGATGATAGAAGCTCCCTTTCCAGAAGCGTAAAGGGGTTAATGGAAGGCAAGTCCCGGAACCCCGGATCACTGCACGCGATCTGTGTCAAGCTTTTCCTCCATTCCTTGTATTTGTTACCTCGGCTCCGGAGTTAATTATTGATGGATATGAACTTTGACCTTATTTGCTTCATCTTGTTAGGAAAATGAAGACATTCTACGTGATGGGTCGAAATTAAAGTGACCGACAAAGTTAATATCCTCTCGAGGAACTTCAAAGAAAATGCAGTAGAAAACATGAATAATGGATTTTATATTGCTCAATTTTCCTTCGTGCACATAGAAACACTATTTTGCATCCCCTGAAATGCTTACATGAAGCAGAAATGATGACTGCACAGAGATAAGATAGAAATGTGTCTGTGATTTTGCTGTTAAATTGTCGCATTTTTGTTTGCACTCATGTTCAGTTCGCTTGCGTTTCTGCAAATGAACAAGGTACATGTACATTTCAACTTCCTGATGCTTTTTAGTTCGATGCTAATTTCTCGCACTCCAGACATTAAGAGTTTCTTTGAAAAGTGATTCCAGGGAGAGGCCCTTACAATTCATTGATGGAGCTTGCAGATCGGGAAAAGGAAAGGCAATTACCTCCCTGAAAGTGGCTGTAATTAGTGCATTGAACGAGTATTCACCCCTGACCCAACGAATAGCTCGAAAGGAGGATGGACTCAATGGACGTCCATTGAGTCCACCCCCCTTCTTGTTACGGCGGCATGCCCAAGCTGAAAATTCGATTTCATCGTCCTCCAACATGTACGTCTGTTGCTGCGCTTTTGCTTGTCTGCTCTGGTCGCTTCTACTCGTCCAGTCGCGTTCCGGTCACAGCGGTCTGAAGTCGCTCTCCCCAAGTCGCACTAACCCCTGCGCCTTGGAGACCATGATTTCGATTCTTTGAGTCTCTCAATCGTAAGTGACATTTTAATTTCAGAGCTATTCGTTGGTATACCAAAGGTGAATACTCAATCAGTGCATCAATTACAGCCACTCTCAGGGAAGTAATTACCTTTCCTTTTCCCTTTCTGAAAGTTTCATGAATGACCTTGAAGGAAGTCTCTCTCTTTGGCATCACTTTTTAATGAAGCACTTCATGCCTGGAGCATGGAGAATTAGCATCAAGTTTCAAAACATCAGGAAGTTGAAATATGCATACGTCTATCTTCATTAATTGGAACACAAACAGACTGAACGTGAATACAAACAAAAAATGCGACAACATATCAACAAAGACAACAGCGACTCAATACAGATTCCATCCTATTTCTGTGCCATCATTACTTCTGCTTCATGTAAACATTTCAGGAAATGCAGATCAGAGTTTCTAGGCGCGTTAAGGAAAAGTAAGCAGTATATATTAGGTTTAATAGCGCATCTTTCTTTTTTCCAAGGCACTTCCGACAAAGTCCATTGAGGTGACGCTAATTTGGCCATCCATTGTAGAAAGATGCGGTTTGCTGTTTTCAACGTAACAATCCCTTCCGTACCCTTGATTATGAATCCGAAGACCCAAGATTCGTTTTAGAAGTAAATACAGAACAAAAGCAATGATTAAATTTTCGATGTAAACAATGAAAGTTCGAATAGGATAACCGTAACGGAAACCGTGTTAATATAAAAAATATTTTCTGGAGCTAATTAGGAGTTATTCAGAAATTTCCTGTATTCCAAATGTCCATTTTTTCCCCTTTAGTCTCTGGAGAATCCCCCGGGAAGGACACGATGTATGGAGATGAGGAAGCTGAAGTTCCCATCCAATTTAGCAAGCAATTACGAACTTGGAGACCTTTCATCGATTGTTGTGGGGAAAAATGAAGTCCTTTTGCATTTCCGTCAATATCCAAGCTGACCTCCCGAGGGAAATTACCTGGTCGATGAAATTTGCAACATAATGAATTTCCTTCATCTTCTGGACCTCTGATGACACGTCTTTGGCCCCATAACGTAAAAAAAAAAAAACTTTTGAAGAGAGCGAGACGAATGTTCGAGGCTGGCAGTAGCGCATCGATTCGTTTGAAACCGGAACAGGCTGGACCGCTTCCATCTCGAATGGCATTTTAATAGCATGCATAATCGATGAAGGTGCATCCTTCGTTTTATTTTTGCATGAGAGGTGAAGAACCGAGTCTTTGCCTTCCTCGGCTTCTGGAAAATGATTTAAGGTAAAGACGAAACTTGACGAAGACAAGGAAGAGAATACTAACTCTCTCTCTTGACGGACTCTCTCTCTCTTTACTTTTTCATCAAGGAAATCGACGTAGGTGGCATACAGACCATAGGAGTGGGTCAAGAGAGATGGATTACTCGAATGGCCGAGAAGGTTATAGGAGAAGCTTCATTACGAGACTGATTGTTGCACGCATGCTGCTCCTTATCCCGTACACGACCTAAGACGATTCCCTTTCATCTTCGACGGACCGGAAAATCCTTCTCCTTTGACACATTAACAGATATCATTCCCGAGAGAGATTTTGGAGGAGCACAAAAACAGGAATCGCATCTTTCGGTCCGATTGACTCGATAATCGCCCATGAAATTGGTTCCCCTATCTTCGTCTTCGTCCATCGGCGTCTCGCTAGGATGATGGTTCGATGAAGCGCTTAATTTCGAGCCCCGACAGGAAATGAATGCACTGAACCTTCAAGGTCTCATTTCCCGAGTACGAACGAGACTGACCATTTGGGTGACGCAGAAGCAGTGCTTGAAATTGTGAAAGGGAACTTCGTTGTAGTTCTTGTAGATTTCGTAGAGAAATTTCTGAAGCACAGGGATTTCGATGTTGAACTTGGTGAGGAAGTCCAGATCCACGAACATCTGCTGCAGCAAAAGGAGGATCTCCTCGTCCTCCCATTGCCAGTTGTCGAAGGTGGGCATTCGGAGATACATTCGAACCTCTTCGCAGATCTCCACCTGACTGCAAAATGAGAAATTTGAACCTTCAAACGAGGAAGACAAGAATGCGGGTGGAAAGTATCGTTGGAAGTCCTCTTTCTGCCAAGTGCATTCCCTTTGGGTGCTCCATTAGAACCATCTTATGAATAAGTAATTCCTACACCACTCGACGATTCAGAAGCGTCTACTCATACAGGGTGTTCAAAAATGAAGTATCTTGTGCTCACTTGCCATTTTGACTGCATGGTGAGGTGGAAAGTCATAAGAATGACATAGCAACATTGATGGATGCCCACGGTGTCCGTGCATACCGGGAACAGGAACCGTTCTTATATAGGTCATTCCATACGAACTCAACCAAGCAGTGCGCTCGACCATCTCGGATTTGGCGATAAAAATTATTAGCGATTGCAGTCAATCTAACAATCCCGTATAAAAATAATCACCTCCGTCGGATCAGCGATTAGCGAGATATCAACCCCCCCCCCCCCCCGAACTTCGGAGGAAAACGGAAAAACCCCATACACGACCAAATTTCCATCTCTGAAACCGTTCATCGTACGGTGCGTGCAACAGCTTCAACCAGAGCTCTTCAGTAGGTTAAAAATTCGCTTCATAAATCCTTGGAGTTGGAATGAGATTTCAGTTATCATTGTTGAGTTTGAAAAAGTGAAAATGCATGTATATTTCACCCATCAATATTCCTATGTGTCGAGATAAAAGATAAACTTCTCGTTACGGTAAGTTGCACTCGTCTTTCAGCTGCATCAATAAGCATGTCGCCTGTTTGACTTTTGGTGTGTTACATAGAGAAAATTTCACTTGAATATAGGAAATTTCTCATTTTCGGTCATCTTTGGTCGAGTATTTTTCTATGTGGCGGAGCACTTACGGTGTCATGGGTAGTGTCATTGGTAGTGTCATTGGTAGTGTCATTAGATAGGTGACCTTGAGCTCTTACTAACGATTTTGTAATTTGTTGCGGCTTTTTCGAATAACATTTTTTATTTATGAAAAGTTGTATACTCCAAGAATTCACATTTACTTCCAGTGGACGAATATAGTCTGGTAATATATAGTTAGAAAAGGTCTTTTCGGGCGCCATTTTCTTTTAATATTGGTTGAGTTCGTATGGAATCACTCATATGTTCTACGCGATAGGGGATGAACTGACACCGTCAGTAGCTCCTATTTGCTGGGTGCACTAACACTAGATGGCGCGTTTTAAAATATGGCCCCGCCCATGGCTGGGGGGAGTCGCACATAAGGAGGAGAATGGAACAAAATCATGTCTTAACAGATTGCACAATCCTTCTTCACGTGGGGCTCCTCCCAATTTCCTCTCAAAACTTGAGAGCCACGACAATGATAAAGGGAGCTTCTAGCCGAAGTAAAACGTTGTAAACCGACAGAGTTGAGGGGTGTGCAAAAACGTAGTTCAATCCCCAATCAAACTTCACCTTCGAAGGAGGTGCAGGTTTTCCTCAAAGCCACTCACCAATGCAAGGATTTCTATGGAATCATGGACCTCAGTGAGGTACATGTGCATGAATTGAGTGGGATACTATTAATATCTTTGTTTCTTATAGAATTCACTACAAGGGGAACTGCTTTAAACTTGATGACGTTTTGACTCCCATTACCTCTATTATCTTAAGTGCTGCTAGCTTTATTTTTCTATAAGTTGTGCTTCACGGGCTTAAATCATAACCTATGACAGAAACCCTTTTTGGATTAGTACCTCATGATAAAACGTATCATGTCAAGGGTTAATGTTGGCTATTTATCCTGTGACAGCAAATACCAAATTTGATTTTCATAGGCCCATGGAAAGCGAAAGCCTAGACTGAAAGAAACATCATAACAAGCCTTTCAGGCTGTCTGGATGCTCCAAGTTGAAACTTCAAACCATCGATTACTTAATATATCATTCTTGGCCTTAGGAAATCCCTCTGGCAAAGAAAATGAAGCATTTTCGTTGTAAAAACAGTATCTGCATGTTTCTATAAGAAACGCATTGAAGCTTGCTCACTTGACTCCCCCCCCCCCCAGCTCATCTTTATGCTTCCTGCGGCCAGATGTCTCCAACTTAATGCACCCAGCGAATAGCGTTCCTGGTCTATTATTAATCCGTCTTTTCCTTCCTTTCAGGACGCAGTCAGAGGCAATGGATGACATGGAGGTGTTTATCGAAGAGAGACGCAGTATCCTTGTGTAACACCCACGCCGGATGAGCCATTATATTACCTCGCGGTCCCTGTGCGATGTTCATCACATCTGCTTACGTCCTGAAATGAACGAAGGGACGGATCACCTTCAAGTAGGAAGTGCCACAGGAAGTTCGATATCATTCTAACCCCTATCCCACTCAGCCGATATGCACAGAAGCCATCGATATCCTTCCATGCAGCTGTGTGATTCTTATCAATATACACGTAACCACATGGCGACAATAGCAAATAAACACTAGATACTTTATTTTGGAACAGCTTGTGGATCGTTGGCGCTGCAAGTACCTACACATCTTCGCTGTTGCATATACCTTCTTTCGTCTCAGATGCTCCTCTCTTTCTGTCCTCCGTATGAGAGACAGCCGCCTTCCTTCTTTTTGGCGATCAGAGACATCCGCCTTTCTTTTCTTCCTTCTCTCTCTCGTTCTCTCTCTCTCTCTTACTCTCTCTCTCTCTCTCTCTTTCCCTCTCTCTCTCTTTCCCTCTCTCCCCCTTCGCACGAAAACGGGTCGCAGTAGGGTTTGGAACTCTTCCCAACGTTTCTCAGTATCTTCCGAATACGTGTTTATGCCTCCTATATCTTTCTCTCTGGTGCAAACAGCTTCTCCAGACCAGGTTTCAGCTTCATGCAGCTACAACCTCTTGGCTGACAGCATTCAAGCTTCCAAAATTCTAAAAAGAACTAAGTGCAAAATGTACGAGGTGTGTTCAAAAAGTAGCTATCAAAGTTACTGGCATCATGGCAGGAGCAGCACTGCAATGCTGAGTGCTTTCAGGGCTATCGTTCTTCTACATTTGTGCGAAAATACAGTTTTGTAATATAATTAATATAATTAATTTTTTAAGATTCTTGAAGCATAGTTGTTTGAAGCAACGGATCAAGTGTGACTGATCTTCGCACGAGGAACAAAGGGCAGCCATAAATATTTTCTTTTAACTACGAAGGCCATAATTCCTTCACAGACTTTTTTATGAATCTACTTCCTTATGAATCTTAGAAGCATTAATGCCAAGGCCGGATTAAGGGGGGGGGGGGGCAAAGGGGGCTGTTGCCCCGGGCCCCACTCTTCCAAGAACCCCCCCGAAGGATATTAAAAACGTTAAATATTTGCCTATAGTAGTGGGAGGGGGGGGGGGCAGCCTCAAGAATCCACTTGCCCTGGGCCTCGCAACTTCTTAATCCGGCCCTGATTATTGCCCGTAGAAATTTGAATGACTGTCCTTTGTTCCTCTTTTGAAAAATTAGCCCAATTTACTCAGTTGTTTCATCCAGCTGTACTTCAAAAGTATGGGGGGAAAGCTACCTTTAGCTAAGAATCTGAAATGTCGCAGAGACGTAGGAGAAACGTAGCTTTTAAACCGCTCAGCATTACCATGTTCCTGCAAAGATGAAGGAGCCGTGCCATAGTGATCAGAACTTCTTTCGATGCTCCTCGTACAACTTTTGGATACATTCATGCGAACGATTACTTTCTTCTTGCGTCGAGAGCTCCAGGATCAATCATCTCTTCTTACCTGATATTCATGAATTTCTGGAAGATCTTCTGTTTCTCTTCGTCGCTTTTCCGCCTGTAATGGGCCCGGTTCCAGAAGGGACGTCGACTTTGTCCAGGGCATACCAACTGGAGATCCTTGTATAAACCTAGGAATAAAAAGCAAACGTTTCCGGGCTTCTACTTCCATCCTGTTTTTCCGGTACGCTCAGAAATCGAAACCACGAGTGAGAAGTTCGAATGATACAATTAAGCAAAGAACTTTCCGCCACGTGATTTTCAACGACATTTCGTGACAACGAAATCGGCCCCAATAAAATGACTTCATCAACAATTTTACTACTCGTGTTCGCAAGACGGGAAGCGAGTTCAAAAGCCTAAGTCGTAGGCTCTTTTGAAGCGCTGAGGTCGTCCTCTCATTGAAGCCATCAGGTTCCCATGACGTCTTTATTGGAAATTTATTCATAACCGAAGCCTTTTTCTAAGGCATATTTGTAAGCGTCTTAGCAGAATAGAGATAAAATCCTTTGTTCTCGGAGCCCCTAAGAAGACGCATGTAGGAAGCCTTGATAGGATCTTAATCTGGGACCTCCTTAATTAGACCGTCTTGTAATTACAGGCGCGAGAGAGATCGAGATTGACTTCCGAGATTGTCTTCTTTCTTTTTCCCATTTCGCGTGTGACCTTAATGCCTTTGATTGGGGTTGTGATCTATATTTCCTTCACAGTCTTAATTTTCGACACGTCCAAAATTTGTCCTTTCTCTGCTTTAGCAATCGCTCTTCCCCCACAGGTCTTATCTTTTTCTGTTTATGCTAAAAGAGAAATAGAAGCAGAGAAAGCTTGACAGTTCCCATTTTCGAAATGACGATCTACAGGGTGGCCACAAATTCTGAAACCAATGGGGAATACGGTTCACAAATGTTCAAAATGTTCTCTCGCTAACTCAATACATGTTTGAAGGCGATATTTAAAATTTTGATGAACCGGTGGCTTGTAACTCGCACAATTCGATTTCCCGTTGGTTCCAGACTCTGTGGCCACCCTGTATGTAATTAAACAGACAACTTATAATGCATAAACGTCGAGAGCTTTTGCGGGAAAATGAAATTGATGACATTCGTGTGAATGTTCACGACAAACTTAAATTACGTCAGAAGATTTTCAGTCCTTTTTTTTTTTAAGCAGGATCAGTTCCTTTCCCTCGCAGAAGCATTTGGGAAGAACTGCGCCACATGAGATGGTTTCATGCGAGGCTGCCCGGACCTAATGGCCCGTGTCGGGCTGGGCGGACTTTTTTTTTTTTGCACTGTGGGCTTCGGAAAAGAAAAAAAGGAGTATGAAAATTCTGCCTCGATAAGTCTGATTACAAACATCGATTGGAGACAGTCGACAGATGAGACCATACCCCAGGAGACTCTTCGTTCTCGGAAAATGGAGTGTTGTGTCTGCGGGCAATCAGATCGATAAATTGCCTCATGAACGCTTCATTTCCCTGGGGGAAACTAGATTACACCCTACAAATCATTGATGAGTCTCCGATTATTTGTACCGAGAATAAGTTGCCAGCGGAGGCATGTGAGACGAAGAGAATAGTCACCGGGGCCATTATGACTAAGTGTACGAGGCTGCGTGTACAGTGTATGCAGCCATAGCCATTTCCCCAGTGGTGATTTCCTTTTCTTCCTGCTGAGATATCGAAGTGCCATGTCGTGTATCTCATCCGAGTTCCCTTTTATGGCAACGCCCACCCGTATGTGAAACTGTTCATGATGCATGAGGGGCCCACGCTCATGCATCGAAAAGGGTTTTTTTCCCATCAGAATTTGCTATAAAATATTCAGGGGATCCCTTGACTTTGTCATTCCGAGGGGATCAGTCAAGGAAGATGCCATTGCGATAGAGAAAAGACGTGAGAAGAGAATACGACCCTTTGACGTCAGAAAAATCCGGGTTGATGGAGGATTGGGTGTATTAAAAGGAAGAAAATGTCTCAATACGGTTCTCATGAACTGTCAAGCACATAAAAGGCGAGGGGAAATGTGGTTTCGAGGCAATCTTGTCCCTAGCTTCCCATTCCCCTTTTACCATCCGGGGACTTCGTGATGCCCTTTTTCTGATCCAAAATGTTGAATTACTGGCATCAGATATCGTGGCCTTGCCCAACTCATACGGCTAGCCATAAATCCCGCGTTATGGAGCCCCCGTTCCCTTCATCCGGTTTTGGGTGGCGCGCTCGAGGAAAGCAAAAGATAGAAGAAAGGAATTTATAGGGTACCGAGGCAGGAGACAAGGGAAAACAAACACGGAATGTTGGATTGGGCTGAAACACTGGAACGTGTCCCTATCACCCATCCCCACCTGCATTCTTTCCACTTCTGTCCCTCCTTTCCAATGAAAGAAACGCCGTACCCAGCCAAGAGAGATGCTCCGTCGTCTCGAGGATTTCCTGAAATCGGAGGACCTCGGATCTGAGTTCCTTCAACGCTGCGGGGCAATCGGGTTCCTCGCTCCGAATCGACTCTTCCAACCTCTCCACGCTGAGACGAAAAAGAACAATAAAATGGAAATGTCACGAAGGTCGCGACGGACAAAATGAAACGGATGGGTGGAATGAAATAGTAGAGACGGAAAAAATGCCCACCGTTTTTCCACCGCCAGAACATCCACGCCTAATTGACTCGTGATGGTTCCTGTAAAAGAAAGAAAAAGAAAACTGTGGTATACACTAGTCTCAAAGGACCTTTCGCTGAATAGACGGTCGTGGGCAGGAAAATGGGCAGTGCATCATTAAAGCCTAGCCTGTGGATGAGAGTCCCGCTGCTCTCGTCACTCTCGCGGGCAAGCAACTCTCGGGGCAAAAGGGTTTCTGGACTCCAGGAGGGGAAGCCCTTTACACCCGTCGCATTTCCTTTTTAGATGTCTAAGCAGGGACAGAGGATGGGGAATTATCTTGACCCACGTCGACTAATGAGGAGAGGATCTGGATTGCACCACAATGTCGAAACAGATGTAACCGAAAGAAGATAAATTCGAAAACAGAGCCCGTGTTCGTCGCGTGGCCGAAAACGGAAACCTCGGAAGGAAAAAGTTACCAGCCGAGACAGACAGGGAAAGGGAATGTATAAGCTCCTTCACACATCTTGAGGCATCGATCGGATCTATTTCTGATCGCAGGGCAAGATTGCAAGTCATGGTGTAGTGTTGCATAATTGGGTTACAGTAACTTTGGACTCACCCTGTATCATGGACGTCAACGGGAATACGATTCATCGGACAAATTTCCATCGTGGCTTTTCAAAATCAGATCAGTTAAAGCGTAACGAATGTGGATTATGTCACCGACGGCCAGCTGTGCATTCCAGGCCACGGTTCGCGTTATCTATCGGGCCCTGCTGAATGAGTCGGTGCTTGGGCATTCCATCAAAAAAGAAGGAACTGAGAAAGAAGACTAAAGGAAACGATCCATGACAAGCTAAAAATAAAGGGAGCGGCGTGTGAGGAAAAGTAATGCAATTATTCTTACTGGTTGTTTTCCCGGGAAAGACAGATTCGGGATTTTTGATCGTTTCAAAGTTTTAATAAATATGTCGAAATTGCAATTATTAAACGATACTGATTGGTATTGTTACATGATATAAAATGGTATTACTAAATCGGGGGAAAGGGTTAGAGTGTCAAATCTCCGTAGAGGAAAAAAAAAGTTCTCATCGACATTTCTTTCATTCATTATAACTGCCCTAACTTTGAAGGGCTGCAGAACATTATCGAAAATTTATAGAGATGTTTATGATACCTCATTTTACTTACATTTCACTCATTCACAGTCACCCCATTACTTCCATCATCCGAAACTTTTCCGCAAGCACTTCCACATAGGTCTGGCAACGCTTCAAAAATGTTTCCATTCCACGATGAAATGTATCCTGCGGAACGTCAGCTACTTTCTCGCGAATCATCACCTCTAACTCCTGACTATTTTTTAGCTTTCTCGTATAATCTCCCTCCATAGGATGTCCCCATAATTCATTTTTAATCTCTGGTCTGCAAGGTCACTTGTTTGAAAATGCACAATTTCTTTGGTAACAACAATACAGAAGCATGCATGGAAAAATATGTTCCAGTTTTATCGCAGCTTTTATTAGCCCAAAACACTTTCCTACCTCAATTAGGCTCGGAGTCATCACTTTCTCAAGGATTAACTTTGGGACAGCATACCTCCAGAATAGTTTGAGCTAGAGCACTTCGATTAGGAATTTTTCATAATCGAGAGTGGCCACCATGCATTAATTTTTCGCGGAAGTTCCTCTCGGAGGCGCAAAGAGAGTTCCTGGATTGCCTTGTTTATTTTAACCGGGATATTCGCTCCAGGAAGAGTGCTTCTCTCCCTCATCGCTTGACATGGGCTGTCAGAATCAGTCCGTACCCTGCTTTCACTCTGATAGTAAAAGCTCTTAGATATATACACTCAACTTCCGTCGCTTGCATGGCAGGTCGGATCGAAGAGTGGAATCGGTTCGAGGAGGAAGAAGCCTCGCGGGGATTCGTTTGTCTCTGCTTTCTCTGCTGGTGGTTCAGTGAAAAACAAGGCAAAAAGTTAACTTTTTTTTACCATTGATTCTATCCCAGAATTTCTCAACCTTTGTGCCATCATGGGCCGGTTCCATTTTCCTGAAAGTGTTTTTTTGCGAAGCTGAAAGTCTGCAGCTTCTATAGCATAAATAAGCCCCCTCCTCTTTCCTTCGCACCCCCGCCACGTATTGATGATTGCATTATATTGGATTAAAATATTCAACAGCAAAGCCGATAACATTGAACGAACGTTCTCTATCAAACAAATAGTCCATAGATCTCACGAAGATATGCCTTTCAAGACGATACTCCACTAGCGTGGCAGAGCCATCGCGCTTTAATGCCCGGGGTCTGTACTTGGCTTGGTTCTTCCTCCAGCGGATATCAAAACTATTTTCAGATGATGGGCCATTGATAATAGATGCATTCAGGGGAAATGCCTCAGCTTATTTCGTGTCCCCCTTCAAACTTCATCGATCGCCAGATCCTCATCTTCCCTTGTGTCTTCTCCCCCTTCCCCCTTCCCTCCATCTCTTCCTCTCTCTCTCTCTCTTTCTCTCTCTCTCTCTTTCTCCTAATATCAATTCATTCAATTTCAAGGATTGAAGAGAGGAAGATGGAGGTGGAAATGCACCGCACGTGGCTTTCATCCAATCCACTCATTCACTGCTGCCTCCATTTCATTCGTCTCATGAATCGAAATCTCTCGGCAAAAAAAATATTTGCCGATTCAGGACGAATAGTATTGGCTTCGAAGCTTTAAGAGAGAGACAAAAATCCTCGTGGATTAAGGAGAAAGTACAGAATGATGATAAACTGAGGCTATGATGGTACATGGAACTTTCAAGCGTTGACAAAATAATGCAGACAAAGAATGACTTCCATCCATCAAGCAATGGATGGCCCAATCAATGTACGATTAAATTAATCCTTCTACTTTGTACAATCCCTTGCAAAATGTCTAAAGCATTCACCGCGGCTGAACGGCAGGTGAATGATAGGAGGATAGGAAGTGGATTTGGAACCGGGTGGGCATCTCATTGGTGGATTGGTGGATTTCCACCTGGGGGACATCCATCTGGTTCTAAATCTGAGGGTGGACGTTTTTTAAGGGATAACATAGTATGAATCAATATTAACCTTTAAAATTGTACTTAAATATAAATTTTCATATCATGTAAGGAGTGCATGAAACAAAAAAAATACTCTGATGCGAAGAAAATAATGGAAGCACGCTACGAAAAGCAAATACCTAGATGTAATTAGACAAGTCACGCAGTGAATGAGATCCTCCCGTGCTGTCTTCCGGCTGGAGGTGATTGAATCCCCTCAGAGACGGGAGGAGACGGGGAGGCATTCGCAAAACCATTTTGCCAGCTACTTGCAGTCTTTGAAGCGGATCCAGCTTCTCATTCCGTTTCATTACCCTTTGGCATTTAATATTTTTCAAATGAAATTATTTGCCTATATTTGACACCAGAGCTCCGCCTACGGCAAATTATACATCAACCTACGTCTCTCCATTTCACCTTTCAGCTTCTGTGCACTCTGAGCATTTTTATACGAGCATCTCTTTCTTTTAATTATTACCAGTAATTTTAGTGCAACAAAGGACATTGGAAAACGAAACTTTGAATAAGTCCTGGAGCGCCCTACACGACAAATTCCGTCGCCCAAAGTTCCATATTTTCGGAGAATTCCTAGAATAGCACACTTTAAAACAAAAAAGAGTTTATAAATTATGTTGGCTAATCCAATGAGCATTTCAATACTAAGTTATTATTCGGACGGTTATAGAATAGTCTTACCAATGTGCTAAATTTAATTTTGTCATCCCTTTACACTCTTTTAGACTCTTAGAAACATGCATTAACTTTTTAACTGGTTGTTAAACAAGAAACAAGAACCCATTCTTCCTGCTTCCGCTGAGACGAAGCGCGGGAAGAATCAATTCATGTTTATAGGACCATATCAAGATAAATGTAGAAAGTAAGACTTCATACGTCGACTAATGAAAAATAATACTTTTTAACCAACGAATCAATACCTTTTTTGTGATCGGTGCTTCCCGCACCATTTTCTGAGTGGATGACCGTCTACATGGCTTCATACCCTCCTTCAATATTTCATTATTTTCATTCTACCTTCACGATCCGGTCCTTAACATTTTATCACAGATTGTGCTGGCATTTTCCACATTGCAAATTTGCATGGCTCTCGGTTATTCCGATAAGGGTAAACACGAGGGAAGGGGGGAAACCCGATTTGTTTTTCAAAGGGGACACTGATTTCATTACAAATTAGGCATTACAGAGATTTTTAGAATTCCGCACCAGTGAATGAAATCATGGTCATTTCATATACCAGAATCGTTCTCATTTCCTGTAGAGGCGCAGAGGCGGGGAGCTGATGGGAACGAACGCTTTGGAGTGTACTTCATTACCATGAGAAAAGCCGCCATTAATTCATTAAAAGTAAGATCTTCCTCTGCAAATATATTTTCCTTTTACGTCCTCTTTCATTTTCCTGGTCCTGCTGAATCTCTTGAGAAGCTCATAACACCACAGGTGGACCGCAACGCTTAAGCCCTCGCTCGATTTATTTTCATCAGGTACAGGCTCTGCTTTGTATTTCGGAGGAGGAAGCAGAGGGCGGGTCATGATGGCGATATTAGGGAAGCGTTCATGATGATGATGGATATCCGGCTGAGCGAAGCCCTAACCGCAATGGGGATATCCATTTACTCGATCCTATCTATGCGAGCCACCGCGCAATACCTTTGGGATCGGGTTCGGGAAGATGCAGTATGGCAAACATGCTCCTTGGAATTCATCTCATTCGCGAAAAGGATGAAAGAGCGAACAGGGAAAGGAAACAGAAGCAAGAGAGAGCAGGGAAGGACGGAGAGACAATCGAGTCTAGGATGAAGGGGGGGGGGGGGGGGGGGGGGGGGGGGATGCTCACTTCAACCTTCCGCTGCTGTGTAGAGAGGAAGGGCAAGAGGAAAATCATCGATCAAATCTGTTCCCCACTGCACTTCCGTTGCTCTATTTTTGGGTTCAGGGATCGATACGACGATGATGTGCCGAAATTCCCAGGCTTGGGTAAAACCACTATGCAAAGTGAGGCTCCGAATGCGTGACCAGAAAACGGGGTTGCAATCTTCAGATAACAAGCTTTCTCGAGGACGGAAGTGGGTAACAAGGGGCTTCCTTGCCCCCCGTGGAATCACGTGCTGAATTGACAAGTAGAGAAATTATGGCAATCGCTGACAGGCATTTAGAAAAATGACACGAATGCAACAAGCACTTGCCACGAATTGCAGATTCCTCGAGAAAACTTTATATAATCAGTAATCGAGCTCGTGTTTTTCTCAACAACGAGCAGCTATTGACGATCGTTCCTGATTGGCACTTGCTGGGTCGTCATTTTATAGCTTGTCGATGGCTCTTGTCCTGAAATTCCGACGATTTGCAATGCTTCATGGCATTAGAAAGCTTCCGTTTCCTCCGTTATCGGACCGATATCAGAATTATCGTTAAAATGTAGCCCTGATAAAAGAAACGGGCTTCACGAAAATACGACGGTTACATTAAACGTGCGTTAGAAGATAAAATAACGGCGAAAAGGGCATAGCGAAAATAGAAACAAAAAATAGACAAACGATATCCAGAGATTGGATGTTCGCGCATGGGTCCACTCCACATCCATCGAAGGCTGCCATCTTCTCGCCGTCTGTGGTGGAAGGCGGTAACGATCGTATGGACGGCAACGACCATCAATCAAATCACCATTAATTATGAAACTGTGTAGGATGTAGGGTGTACTGTATAGCCAAGGAAGGAAAGAAAAAAACAGCCGGATTGAAGGAACGTTTCGGTCAAAAAGCCTTTCTTCAGGCTACATCCCGGCACCATCATCAAGATCGTCGTCCTGTTTCCATTAGCATCTTTTCAAAGCACATTATAATGATCATTCTGATGATCCTATAAAGAGTATGGTGGAAACCTCGATGGTTCGACCCCGAGGAATCTCCTTGACTCTCTCCCATTCGACATATTTAGTGGGAAGAGTTTTCATAGTCGGATCGAAGGAGTGCATTGATTGATGAAAGAAGAAAATCCTCATCCAAAATTCAATCCCTCTCTCAGAAAGTTACTTCATGGAGGAGTGATCCGTATCTGGTCGGAGCCTCGTGCGAAATCTGGCATGGGTTCCAGAGATTTCTCCGAAATCTGAGCCATTCGCGATTACGCTAAGACCTGGCAGAAATGGGAAAGTCGACCCAGGGCTTTCCAACTCCGAACGACCACGAATTCGGGCCTGGACTTTCCTTCCTGGACCTTGGACCTGTATTACTGGACCTGATCTACTTGACGCGGTGGGGCCTGTAATCTTTCGCCATCGCTGGAAGATCCCAGACAAGGCTGAGCAGAAGGAACTCGGTTCGTTTGCCTTCATCGCTTGAGGCTGCTTGCCGGAGAACGCCTGCGAACCGTGCTGAGGAACATCCCGGATGAACCGCGCCGCTTGGGGCTGATACCGGTTCTTAATCTATCAAATAAATGAACGGCATTTCCATCGCTCAAATCTGTGTTCCCTGCTCCGTAAACAAAGAAAGTTGTTCGGACGATAAAATAAAAATGGTCGAACATATTTCAACTGAAATGCATTTTTCTTCGCTCTAAAAAGATGGGATGGAAGTATCTATGGGGATTCACATTTACGGAATAGGAAATATGGGAGCTTCTGACAGCAGAAGCCAACAGGCACGAGAAGCCAACAGGCAAGAGTACGATGGCGATGCGGTCGAGACATCGATGCAGTCTTTCTGCCAGCCTTGGCCCGATGCTGAAGCGTGACGATGAGCTGATATCGTTTTCCAAAGTTCCCCCAACTTTCTGGCAATGAATGTGCTTCAACATCCAATGCACGTAGTGGATGCATGCAAATTTGGCAACTAAATGAAGATCGTTGGAGGAGTGTTTGTGCGCCAACTTGGTGCAAGGACGTCATCGCGACAAAACTACGAGCTCTGTCTTTCGGCTCGATTTCAGACCCTTGGCAACGAACGAGCTGTTTTTATCCAAAGTGGAGCAGATCTGATCGTATGGTGAATATAAAAAAAAAACTTTTCCGACTTGTTCTCGATATTTAATATTCAGGCTTCATCCGCCGAGCGAGCTGGTATATCAAGGTACAGACACCGAGGAATCAACAAGCCTATTAGTTTTTTATTTCCCGGAACAGCTGGCCACGTGCTCGTGTAACCGGTATGCGACCACCAATTACGAGCCAAATTGCTTCATTTTATGGGGTTTTTTTCCGCCTTTTCGTGTTCTGTTGCGCATTGCCGGCCGAGGCGGGGCACATTCTAAGCACGAGGGATACCGGTTTTCGTCTCCCAAATTTTGACGAATGTGAAACAACCGGTTTGAGAGTAACGACGGAGTTGCAAGATGGAAGGAATTCCCTCGCGAATTCCTCCGACCCGAGGATGCTTTCTCTTCTGTCCTCCTTGCTCTCTCTTTCGAGTTCCGATTACCAAGAGATACGGGAGGCTTCCCGAGTAAGGTGCTAACCCGATTAACATCCCGGTGGCCTCTTCGTTCTCTTCATAAATAGGAAATTTGCACGGAAAGAGAATGCGCAATGAAGTTCCCCGAAGTGGAATGCGCCCGAGGATTCCGCGGGGAAACCGAAACACCGAAAGTCAACCCTTGATGGTGGGTCCTCTGTTGTCGGAGGTTATCGAATCGATGCACTCAACTGAAATTAACATTTCACAAACTAATGCATCTTCTTGTTTCCCGTGAGACCTGTCCCTTAAAAAGAAGGAAGAGCAATCTCATGAATATTGTTCTGCTCGAAGGAAGTCGAACTATCGATTCGCTTTTCCAACAAAACCCCTTCGGGGCTGTCTCGGGAGACTCGGGAAAAGCTTCAGCTTGATAAATCCACGCTACAATTCTTCAGGAATGACAAACTAGTGCTGGCATCTCGCAACCCCGGGAGTGGTGCATTGAAAAGTGGTGTACTGAAAAGTGGTGCATTGAAATGCTTCGCACTTCCTTTTACAGAAGCGACGCAAAACCCAGCTGTCTGAGCGTCCGACTTCATCTACGACCTGAGTTCTCTACTCTCCTTCGAAACTCGATTTCTCTGCATTGTTACACCGTCTACAGCAAAAACTCATTACTGAAGGACCTTCGGTAGATAGAGAGTTTGATTCGATTTTCATGAAAAGGTTGATGAAGGTTATAGCTGTCTTGTGAATCGGTGTCACACTCTCTTAATAAAAAAATTATTCACCAGTAGTACATAATGAGTCAATTTTTATTATCGTCACGTGTACCACCGAGGTATATTTTGTAACATTTTACATACAATTTTTCCACCTGGTAGAGAATTAGTATAGACTTCATGAGGACACAGAATGTCGTTGATCAAAATTTAATTGCATTGTGTACTAATGGTACACGTGCACTTGAACTAGTCTGAAGATCGATGATCGACTCATTCCTGTCTGGATTTTTTTCTCCATTGAAGTAACGCGATTGTAGGGTAACCAGATTTGAATGGAAGCAAACTAGGATCGACCAGTTGCAATCAAAGTGTCTCGGCTCCCGAAATGAAGAGCGATATCTCTTAAAAGGATATCTGACAGCGGGGAAAAGAAAGGAAGAAGAACTGTACCAAGAGACCCTACGGGTTAATGGAAGAAACAAGGGAAGAGGGTAGAGCGTAGTATACCCTTGAGACGAGTCCCTCAGGACATCCACAGCCCCATTCTTCGTGGGGAATACGGACGGATCCTTCGCTTGAAGGCGATGTGTGCCGTGTGCTTGAGGTGACACTTGGATTTCCCTTCGATGCGGTGCTGTTTGCTCTCGCGGATGAATCACTCTTCCGGCTTTCAACCGGTCTTTCATCCTTGTATGTGTCGAGCTCGAAAAAGAGGGTGAACCGGATACCACGCTGACATCTCGCAATGCTGGTGTGTCAAGTCTCAAATGAGATCCGAGAGCTTAACGCATTCAGTTAATTCAGTCCCGGTATAAGTCTTCCTAATACAATCCCTGTGACTAATTATTAATTACATACGTGTTGAAAATTAATTATACCAAGATGTTCAGAAATTTTCAGTTTTCTTTGGTAATTTAACCCCCTTTTCTTAAATTGAATGATGACACGTATCATATTGGAGATTTCCAATTCCGGGCTGTCGTGAAAGCCATTTCACATCGAAAATCTCCGATCGTGGATTTGAATGAGTTAACACCCATACGCGGAAAAATCCAATACGTGATTTTTCAGAACACCGCTCAAGCTGTTTAGCCGCCAGAAAGTAGGTGCATTTGCCAGCAGCCAGTCGGCGCATCGCATGAATTGAATAAGCTACTTCCTCTTCCCGTTGATGCATCAGGCATATGAGAGCTG